GACCATGGACAATATGAACTTTTTTGTTCATTTTAGGGTGAAGAATCTACTGGAGAAGTTTGTAGCACGAGTAGCAATTCACCCTGTATATAGGAAAAAAGAGAGAGAGAGAGAGAGTAAGTGAGAAAAGGAGAAAAGTCAGAAAAGAGTGAGAGAGAGTGGGAGAGAGAGAGAGAGAGAGAGAGAGAGTGAGAGAGAGAGAGAGAGACAAAGTGAGTGATATGGTGACGAGGGGAGATTGAGAAGAAGAGAGAAGTGAAAAATGGGGAAAGAGCAAATTAGCAAGACCAGAGAAGAGAAAGAAAGAATGAGTGAGAAAGAGAGAGAGAGAGAGAGAGAGAGAGAGAGAGAGAGAGAAAGAGAGAGAGGGAGAAAGAGAGAGAGGGAGAAAGAGAGAGAGGGAGAAATAGCGGTAAGTGCTTGCTATGTGTGTGTGTCTGTGTTTTACATTAGTTGTAGTTTATCATATATCATGATGGATCACAATCATCACAAGATCATTTATAATCTATAAAAATCAACTAACTTTTTATGGTAATTCAGATGTCGCGAGATGCGGTCGGGTGTGATGTAGGTTTCAGAAAAACATTTTCTTTATCGTGACAACGTTTCGATCTTTTATTGAGATCATCTTCAGGACCTGGGATTTACAAACTATGTTTACATTTAACAAATACATTTAGGATGTGGATAAGTGAATTTATACAATTCAAAATATATTTTATATTCAAACAAAGTATTTCTACTCACTCAAAGTGTTTGTCTTCTTTGTAATTGTGCGTTGGCACGATAAAGAAAATGTTTTTCTGAAACCTACATCACACCCGACCGCATCTCACGATATCTGAATTACTATCGATTAACGGTCACTAATCTCTACACATAACTTTTTATGTATGATTTTTAACAGCTTCGTAAATTGACTCCAGGAAAATGTAATATTCTGAAGCTGTTTGTTGAGAATGGACTTTGATGAGGCAACAAGCCCATGAAAATAAACATATATTTAATTTTTTAAATTTCTATATATAATATATCAAATTTATTGTGTATTAAACCTTGTCAGGATGCCGTGATGTATTAAAGAGAATTATGACCAAATTTCCTATTTTAAAGAATCGGTAAAGGCAATTTATGCTAAAATGTAGGCAACTTGGATTCATTCAAATCAATCGTAAATTGATGTTTTAACGTTGTCCATTTTAAAATACGCCTGTCAACGGAGTTCGTCAAGATGGGCCAGTGAAACACTTGTAGTTTCATCAAAGAGCCGACATCAACTCTAGCAAGTCCATCTTTCGAATCGAACGAGGTCCCACGGAGGCGTGTCTCCCATTACCATAAATATAGTATGATAAATAGCCACCGGTTGACCACAGCGACGACGGACCTACGGAGCCATAGGGTCAATGAAGACCTGGTCATTATCCCTTTTGGTCAAGTTCAAGGCTGATGTTGCGTGATGATGAAACTGGTCCAAAATCAAAGTGGGGGAAATAGGCGTTTCTTAACTATATAAGGGTCAAAAGTGGGAAGATTTTCATATAAGTGACTGTCAAAGAAGAATGATGCATTTGGTAAGTGTACTCTTGCTTCTTTACTTTTTCCTGTGTAATATATCCAGAAAGTGCCGAATTCGACCTAAAAATTACTGTCACGTCAGTATCGTCCATTCACCCAAAACAGCATTTCTGAGAAAACCGTGTACTATATACATACAACCATAATCTTACCTTACTTAACAACCAACTTTATAATCTCAAAATTTAAAATACCAAATTATTAGTGTTGCCCTTAGACTTTACTTGAGTTCATCCCTCGACCATTTCAGTCAAAATCAATATAAGAAAAAGCTTTACTTACTATACAATTTTTAGACAGTCTATCGGTATATAAGTTAGGGAATATATGCCATCTAAAATTTACAATATTTAGGCATTTATGAATTCGTAGGATTCTTGTGATAGTGAGAAAGTATGGCGAATCTAGAATTTTCTAAAGAGATTTTCGGAAAAGAAAGCACCGTTTCGCGTTCATTCTCCATGTTTATTTTATTGTTAGATTTTTACGCAGTCATAATTTTATATATTTCAATATAAAAGATTTCTGTCTATTTTGTGTATACTTCATGAAACGTTAATAAGTGACAAGCAAAAAAAAGTTATTATAAAATCAAACCACATGAAGGTATTTAACAGGTTTTGAACAAAAAAATCTGGATATTATGGCATTAAAAATTTATTTGGTCAACATTTTATTGTTTTAATAATGTAATTTAGACATGCCTGATTGTTAGTAGAATATGCAGTTTTCATACTAATGTTAATAGTTTTTTTAAGAATTTGTGCAGGAGTAACAACATTTATACAACTTTTTGTCTATAATCAGTCCCAATTGCAATAATTTGTACTTCATTGTTTCCTGTATTATTGATTAAGTGTAGAGACGACTATATTTTCTTTAGTAATAAATTTGTGGTGATTAGAGACCGTTAATCGATACTTATTCAGAAATCGTAAGATGCGGTCTGGTGTGATGTAGGTTTCAGAAAAACATTTTCTTTATCGTGCCACCGTTTCGATCTTTATTGAGGTCATCTTCAGGGCTCAAAGTGTTTGTCTTCTGTGTAATTGTGCCATTCTTGCGTGTCGTGTTTAGTGATAAACTTGGGGTTTTAAAGTTTAGAGAAAGCTTAAACTAAGGAAAACGTTTATACAGTTTTCAGTAAGGGATTAATTTTAACTGTTTGTGAATTACTGAAATAAATTAAAGTCAAATGGATCCTGTTTGATCAGATATTAAGTTCCTTCATAACAGATTAGCCAAAGAAACATAATTTATACAACTTTCACAATGTAATCAAATTGAACATCCAGCCACTATAATTAAATAATTTTTACTTGATTACTTTTTGAATTATGGATAAATTTAAAGACAATTTGTTTTTGTTATCAAGTAAAATATGCAGTTTAAAAGTTCAAAATTGCATAAGCAAAAAAAAAAATTATTTATATAGTTTCAGCATGAGATCAGATTTAACGACTTTCAGTATAATAAAACCAATTTTATTGCATTATTTTTTCTTTCATTTATGAATAATATGTAAAGAGAAATAGTTTCAATTTAATAGTATATGCTGTTTTTTAGTTTAAATTAGCTTACGTATTTTTATAAATTTCAGTCCAGAATCAGATTTGAATTGAACGTATAAGACCATATTTTTTATTTTTTGAATTATGGATAAAATTTAGGTCTAATTCGTTTTTATTAACTAGTAAAATATGCGGTTTAAATTTCAATATAACTTGGGTAAAGATAAAAATATTTTTACAACTATCAGAAATCAGATTCGGAAATGAGACAGTATAATATTTTTTTTTATTGTTTCTAAGCTTGTATTGTGGAATCTGCATCTGTGTAAATTGACGGGAAAATTTTTCTAGACAAAAAATAAACAATGAATAAACACTTGGCTAATTTCAGCATAATAAGTAGAATAAACTTTGCTATAAAGGCCAATCGCAAAGCAAAATAAAATCAGTCGCGTTTAGTTAAATATGCTTTATTTTATTTTTGGTTTGTAGGTAAAAGTTTACAATAACCTTTGGAATATGACGGCTCCAAAAAAAGGATTATTTTGTTTTTTAAAAAAATCCGCTTCGTTTAGTTCAAATCGATGTTGATAAAAATGAAAGACTATCAATAATTTATTTTGGAAACGAAAACCCTTTGAAAGTACAGAATTGTCTCTCAAAAACAAGGCGGAAACCGAAGGACAACAGGTGCTAACGAACTTTGACAGTTTCGCGTGAGCAATTTTTCTATTATTAAAAGAATAGTTGGAAACCGAAATAGTTATAATTGAATAATAAATTCTTTTAATAGTTGTGCAGGAGGAAAAATGATAATCTGCAAAAGAAGACTTAATTTTATGATTTTTCTGTTTTCATTCAAATTTCAATCCACTTTTTGCTCTTTCTTAATTGCTAGTTGTACTGTTTTGTTCACACATAGCAATTATTAAATTCTTAAAATACACAAAACCGCGTTATTTTTGTAAAACGCTAACGCCCCGTGCTAAACTCTTATTTTTGCGCTTTTTACCTTAGGAAAATTTGTTTACTGACTAAAAGGTCAAAAATTTTGCATAAAATACGCTGTTTGCCGAGATGAAAGAAGTAGGAAGTCTGGACGTCGTGTGATGTAATTGGAAACAAGTTCAGGGTCGACGACTTTCATTCACCTTCCAGGCCGGTACAAAACCGAGACGGCCACCGTTCAATGTACCCGTCCCGATCTTGATCCTTTCTTCGGATGATTGTTGCCGTTTCCACGTCGTTAGGCCCTTTAATGAATTTCAATTAGCAATCCTATTACCGAAAAAAAAGTAAATACCAGTTCGTAACATGAAGAAGGAATTAAATTGCAACGGAATAATTGACCCTATTTCACCAATTTCTGCTCACTTCTTCACTAATTGGGTTACATTAGTGATTGCAAAAGCGATTTCCGACCAAACGCCAATTACTTGGATTTCAACTCGATATGGCATATGGCATAACAACAGAAACCAACAACACACTTATTCTAGGGTGTACATTTCATAGTTGATATAAATTTAATGAAAATTCGTTTTAATTACTTATTCAAAGCAATTGGAAATACAAAACATAATAAATAATATTATTAAATGCAGAGAGAATGTGGTATGAGGAAGGGAATATAAGTAAGAAGGATATTCAGAACAAAACGGGAGAGAGACAGACAGACAGACAGAGAAGGGAGAGAAAGCTAGATAAGAAGGAAAGAAAAGAGCAAAGAGAGAAAGAGATTGTGAGAATGAGATGTGAGAAAAAAGATACGTGCGTGTTTTGTTTTTGTGATTGTTCGTGTTTTAAATTAGCTGTATTTTGTTATTATGTAGCATGAAGAATTTCGAAATCGAATCATTTTGTTGAGAAAGTGATGTAGATGTAGTTGTAATTTCAGGGTATAGTATACTGCGCCCTTTAAGAGCTATTGTATCCCCCGTTCTCTGCCTAAAGCACATCGGTGAGTCCTATTTCATCAAGAAACTTGATTAATAGGCCCGGTTTCTGTGGTTGAAGCTCTTCTATGGTCACATTATATAACCCAAAACATTTCTTCCTGCGAGCTAGTGTAGTTCCGCAGTTTGTTAGTAGATGTGTTGGTGTCTCTTCTGCCTCCTTGCAGAATCTGCATGTGCCATCTTGGATTATTCCAATTTTCTTTAAGTGTCCATTTAATTTGCTGTGTCCTGTTAGGAATGTTATTAGGATTCGCAGTCTGTTCCTGCTTCCTTTGACACATTCTCTAATTTTTTCCTACCGAAATTGTTAGAAGATTCTTGGATTGTCTATGTCCAATAAGTGAATTCCAAAGTTCACTCATTTTCTTTTTGTCCTTCTGTCTGAGATATTCGTTAATAGTGTGGATTTCTATGCCACAGAAGGGTTCAGGTCCTATCAGCGGTGTAGCAGCCCCTTTTCTTGCAAGGGTGTCCGCTTTCTCGTTGCCTTCTACTCTCATGTGACCTGGGACCCAGAAGAAGCTGACTTTATTCTGCATACCTAATATGTTTAGTGTGTTTTTGCAGTTCAGCACCATCCTTGAACTAATGATATTTGAACTTAGTGCTTTGATGGCTGCTTGGCTATCTGACATGATAGCTATATTCTTGTTTTTCTACCCTTTGCTTAGGTTGAGTTAGGTACATCTTCCGATTGCATGAATCTCAGGTTGGAAGATACTGGTGTGTTTTCCATGGGTTCTGAGTATTTGGTTCCAGATCAAAATACTTCTGCCCCTGTACCTTCTTGTGTTCTAGATCCATCTGTGTACCAGAGGATGGTGCCATTTTTAAAAGAGTTGTTTCCCTCTCTTTCCATGAGAAAGTGGTAGATAGATAGATAAATAGAAGGATAGACAGACAGTGTTAGGTAGGAAAAAAAGAGAAGAGAAAAGAGAGAAAGAAATTGTAAAAATTAGTGGTGCGAAAAAAGAGATAAGTGCGTGTTTTTGTGTGTGAGGTTATTGGTATGTGATTTAAATTAGTTGTAGTTTGTGGTTATATAACATGATGGATCCCGATCATCAAAAGGACAACTTGATGAGAAAGTAATTGATAGAGGGATATGCACATAGATAGATAGGTAGATACATAGATACAGACAGAGAGACAGAGAGAGAGAGAGAGAGAGAGAGAGAGAGAGAGAGAGAGAGAAAGAAAGAGCGAGAGAGAGAGATTATATCTATGTAATAGTACAGTTCATATAAAAATAATAAACATAATTTTTAATTTATAATTTTTAATACCAATTTGAATTCCCTTTATAAATTTATCAATGCAGTTCTTAATTAAAATGTAACATACTTTTAGCATTATTTACTCCATAAATCTTTTAAACATAGATTTTATTACAATATTTCCATTTTTTATTTTATTTTTTTATTGCTAGCCGGTTATAATGATAAATCGGCACTAGAGCGTAGAAAATCATAAATATTCATTAACGCTATATAATATTTATGATAAAATTACTATTTAAGAAGAGCCTATAAAGGAAACTAGCTGCATTATAGTGTTTTTAATTTATCCCTTATTCAGAACTTAAAGTTTTTTTTATTTATGTCAATAATAAAATTTGATAACAAATCTTTATTTTTATAATTAAAATTTATAATTTTAATATCTTTTTCATTTCAAAGACTTTTTCAATAATTGTTTTAAATTATTTCGTATTGCATATACTTATTAATTTTATGAAAGCATGTAGTAAGTTAAAACTAGATGATTTCATGGCGATAAAAATTTTCCTAGAGTTATCGGGAAATCTCTATTCGCGTTCTCACGGTTATATTTCTTTGCAATGTTGTTTAGTAAGCCACTATAAACCAATCCATAGAAATGGAACATTTTCTCGAGCGAATATTCTCAACTATACTCAAATGAAACAAGTTTCTATTTCCATGGCAACATTTTTCCGATGAATTAAATGATTCTATGGAAAAACAATCGAATTAATGAAAAATCCTTATAAATGTTGGTATTTCTATGGCAAAATTTTTTACAACTAAACGATTCAACGGAAATAAAAATTTATAAATCCACGTAAATACAAATATATATAGCAAGTAGTGACATTTTAATTAAATGACTTATATATGAAATGTGTATTTTCATGTCTACCGAAATTAGTTGAGCTAGAACAATAAATTTTAATTCAATCATCTTCAATCTCCATATTTATTTTCATTTTTCATTTCATTTTTCAACATTGTATTATAACTTTTTTTATAAATAATTTAGTCTATACGTCATATTTAACTATGTTTAAATTTATGCAGTTTTATCGAAACCTTAATAACAATCTTTCAATTAATTAAGGTTTTTAGTTGAGATAAAAAAGTCAGTGTCACGAGCGGGATTCGAACCCACGACGTTCGGCTAGATACGCAGCTGCTCTACCACTTGAGCTATCGTGACTTCCATCCACTCGGACACCAACTTCCCATCTCAGCCGCACCTTTTGAATTTTCCTTCCTTTTTGCCTTTTTTTCAAATGTCGTGTAATCTATTTGATTCTGATCAAAAGGTGGGGTTGAGATGGGAAGTTAGTGTCCGAGTGGATCGAAGCCACGATAGCTCAAGTGGTAGAGCAGCGTCGTATCTAGCCGAAGATCGTGGGTTCGAATCCCGCTCGTGCCATTAACTTTTTTTCATCTCAACTAAAAACCTTAATTAATTGTAATGTATTAAATTGGTCAAGCGGACCACGAAATTAGTGAACTTAAAACCTGAGTTGGCTACGAAATAATTTATCTATTAGACAGCACACTGTTACAGAGTATCATTTTGCATATTATTTAGAAAACTATTTCTCGAAAACCTTATCATTTTAAGGTAAACATCAAATTTTTAGCGAGTACTTCCAACCGTATTGTCATACTTGATACAGCGTACTTTTTTAGGATTCGATATTTAATTCTTAGAGGATTTTGATTTTTTGATAGATATATGTTTTAAAGTAAGCAGAATAAGACCCTGCATATTTACAAGTGTTAGATTTCGATCTATAACTGCAATTTGGCACTATTATCATAAAAACAAACCCAAAATCTAAACAAAAAATTCTGTGACCCTCGAGGAGGTTACGATAGCTCAAGCGGTAGAGCAGCGTCGTATCAAGCCGAAGATCGTGGGTTCGAATCCCGCTCGTGCCATTAACTTTTTTTCATCTCAACTAAAAACCTTAATTAATTGTTAGGTTTTAAGTAACAAGTTGAGATTAGAAAATAGGTTTTTAAATTTTACAAAAATTATAACTTTGTACGGAAGTTATCTTTTCACAAATTATCCTGAAAAGGTTCTTTCTATCCAGTTTTTATTTGATTTTTGTTCATGGAATACAATATTAAATAAAAATATTGTTAATATATAATGGAGTATTTTTTTAAGATATAGATTTCCACGTTTTCTTTCTAACGATTTGGATCCAAAGTAACACTAACATAATAGAACTAGAAGGACAGATATTTTGGTAGATGGTTTCTTAGAGTTTCTTTTGTCTCGGGAAATATTTGTCGGCCGAGATGGGCAACCGGTGCTCATTGTGAAACACATTCCAAGCAGATATCGCCCGTTTAATAGGTTTTCAATAACAGGAACGTTTTACGAGAGCGGCATCCTATTAAAAGCTCTTGATGAAACCGGCTTCGCGCCTTTCTATAACCCCAAATAAACCAACTTCAACCTTGTTTTTAATTATAGGCAGAGTGGTAAATATTGCTATAATTTTTAACGTGTTGTTTTGTAAATTGAGTTGCGTTAACATACTACAAAGTACATAGTTTCAAACTTTTTATATTTCAAAAGTACCAGCCTTGCTTCATAACCTCTACCCTTTGTAGTTTAAAAAGTTTAGAATCTAAATGAAAAATCTACTAAATGAATAAGGTAAAATCAGTAAATAAAACTGTTTCTTAAGAAGACGAAACGCGTTTGGGTGAAGGGTAAACCTGCAACACCGAAAATAGAGTTAACACATTTCTAGCAGTTTAACACAAATTCTAGAATTTGTATAGGTAAAGTTATTTTATATGTACTGAAAAGTTGATCAAGAAAAGCAAAGCCGTTTTTTCAGTGCTTTCAGTTGTTACAGTACAATCGTTAAATTCTAGCACAAAATGATAGGCTATTCCAAGTGTATTTTCACTATCTTAACACAATTTATTTACTTAACCTGACAATATTTTCCAAATTCTTGTAAGGATTCGCCTTAACCTGTTTTCATTTTTTTTTTCAGCTGCTTCTGTTCGCAGTTGTGGGGAGCTCTCTAGGGGCGTCGCTGAGAGTCAGAAAACAGTCAGGAGGGACGGTAACATTTTTCAACCAAACTTTCCCAGCTCCGCCAGGCGTTCCACAAGAGACGATAAACCAATTTCAAGGAGCGTTCCAGCAAGGTTCAGGATTCTTACCCCAGCCGCCATCACCACCGCAGGGTTTCATTCCTCAAAACCCCGGTGAATTTTTACAACAAGGCGGTTCAGGATTTATCTCGAATTTCCAGTCTCAATTGCAGCAGGACGAATTGGTCGGTAGAAACGAGCCTAAACCAGTTGTACCGATCGTCACCTATCAATTTACTCCCAACTCCGTCGATGGGAGCTACCAATTCAGGTATTTAGAAGTTTACACTAAAAGCATTTTTTCCCTTACGAATTCTTCAAGTTTTTACATTTGTTGATATGAGTCACAGTTGTTATGAAAAATGGAAAAAACTATGTAGTATTTCGTAATTCAAAAGGTAATTAGCTATGGATGTCATGCTTGCTGATTGGAATATTATCATTTTTTATTACTAGTTGGTTGTAGTAAGAATTCAGCTTAAATTGGATTTAGTTTGGATATGGCCTAAATTCAGGACGATGAGACAGTTCGGTTCCCGATTACTCATCATCAACAAGACAAGAGGATCTTTAACGTCCGCACCTAGCTCATGGCCTTATCGGACGTTTTGATTCTCAAGATGAGAGCTGACGCACCTCCACATACGACGGAATAGTGTTACCGCCGCAGCTTTAGTGTCGGGCGTAAGGGTCGGTAGCCACGCTCTCCGCTTGTCCACTCCCGAATGGTCGCACGCGAGGGGCTAACGGGCCGAAATACATCAGCCCGTCCCCCCCCCTCGCGTACTCCCAAGATAGAGAAGGCGACTCTATCTCTCTGAGTGTAGAGGCTCCTCCAGCGTAGAAACTTCCGGGAACGCCCCGACAACGGTTTTAGATTATAGTGGGATTGCTACCCACCCCCTAGATGAGCACTGTCTACGGTAAAAAGTCTCTTATCGAGCTCAGCCTACACCTGCTGCACGCATTCGAGGGACGCCATAGGTCTAGCCTAGGTGGTCCGATCCTTCGCTTCCCCAAGGGTACCACGCCGGTCATACGCACAACAATGCAAAGCATACTCGAGTCAAAGACGCCGACTCACTACCCTTTTCCAATCGCTTACTTACGCATTCGAGGGACTGTAGCATAATCATGACGTCTTCAACGCTTACATGCTGTCGTCCGGTCGCAACGTCTCCCTTGAGGACCGGGGGGTAATACGTTGGCCATACGCAAGCTTCACGAAAGGTCCCAAGTAGAAGACAGCCTCTGTCTAAGTTCCCGCCAGAGGCGTCACCACAAGCCATCACGAGTCCATCCCAACGTGACTCGGGCTGGTTTTTGAAACATTTCAGTCACCCCGTGGTATAGATGGCCATACAACCCTCCCCCGTCTTTACATACAGGATCTGGTGCACTGGCCCTCGTGTGACTCTGCTAAGGCACCCGCCGCCCCTGCCGACTCTCAGGCCGACATAAGACAGCTTGTGCTTTAGAGAGGTTGCCACGCCCTCTGGGCTGCACCATTATTTTGTGCCCGGATACCCCCCTTGTAACCAAGTGTTAGGAGGGGTCACAGGATAGAATGAAGGAGTTCGGACTGAGAAAAGGGGCCGTGGAAGGGAACACGAGGTGAGCCGTTTCGGGGTCTCGAGTCTCAACCACATTATACCACCCGTCGTCGCCGTGGTTCCACATAGAGTGGGCCATGACTCCCAGGGTGGGTGAGGCGAGATGGCCGTTAAAAAGCCGAACTAGTCGGCCGTATCCCAGCCAGTCGCCTCCGTCTCAGCCAAGCATGCATCGACATTCACGCAAATAAATACGTACTGACTATTATAACTACATGAACTTCTCTGTTTTACACGAATCTATGTCGTACTGTATTTTCTCATAAATTGACGTTAATATAAACATCTGAATATAAAATTAATTTGTCATGTACGATCAATAGGTTCCTAAGAAATAAAATGAAATTTAAATATTTTGTAATGAGATTTCCTTATGACATCTGCGCGTGATTAAACAGTATTTAATTCATTTTAGATCATTTTGTTATGCTTAACTTTGCTGTTTTGGTACGTTAAATATTCTTAGATACCAGGCTGATGATTATGGGTTTAAGGATAATCAGAAATCCATATTAATAATTGGTAATAGTAACGGTTGGTTAAACATCAGAAATTGCAATATTTTTTTGGGTAGGAATTATAATAGATAGTTATGAATAAATTTTTCACACCCTAGTTCTCCCAAAATCGAAAAAGTCGCAAAATCTTGTTTTTTTGTGAAGAACTGGTTAGTTGTCTTTTCATAAACTGTACATTTCGAAGCAGCTTCTTCATACAATTATCTTTATAATAATTCAGGTGCGTCTATTATTGGCAGGTATTTGTACTGTTATAAAAATAGTAAAATGTTTTGGTTGGATTGTAACGTACAATATTAGAGGACAGCGTTGGCCGAGTCGTTGCCACGTTATCGGTCCTGCGTTCGAATCCCTGCACCGTCCATGGAATTCGTACCTTTTTGATTCTCTTCTGAAGGGGAAAATTATTCATTCGCTGTGGAATAAGGGAATTGTTTTGTTTTTTTCGTACACGTACGATCTTTAATTGTGTACCATTGTTCCAAACTATTCACTATTGGATTCAGGATAAGTTAGTTATATGTACATAGTATTTTAAAGTGGTTTAATCCCTCTAGTACAACATAAAGGGGATGGTAGATGTAAAGACCTTCTGTATGGATGGAATTAATTTACTTTACTTTTAAAGTAGAATTGTACCTCCATTTATAAATTTCTTCATTTTCATTTAATTACATAAATATTGTAGATCTTTGTTTCCATTGGGTTTAGACTTAATTAACTTATTTGTTAGCCATTTAATGTGATTAATTTTTATTTTTAAATACAATCGAAAAGATTTGATTATCCAATGTTTCCAAATTTTATTGACATCCTTTCCATCAAAATTTTTCAATTTTTCCGGCACAAAAAACAAAACTGAGTACCGTTTTATGGTAAATCTTATGAATCATTCATTGCAAAAAAATTTTTTTAAACAAAAGGTTATCGTTGCACGGGTGAACTATGTGCAATAGATTGTTCATGTAATCGAAACTCTGTACATAGATTTGCAGTTGTAACGCCTGTCTACGATAACACTTAAGATTATACAACCATTACATAAACCGTGTGAATTTGAGCTTTTTGATTCTCTATTGAAGGGGAAAATTATTCATTAGCTGTAGAATAAGGGAATTGGTTTTTTTTTCGTACACGTACGATCTTAAATTCTGTACCATTGTTCCAAACTATTCACCATTGGATTCAGGATAATTATAGAAAGGCGGAATCCCGATTATCCGAGGGAAAGGATAACAAAGGATAAACAGAGGATAGCCAACAATAGCAAAGTTCAAGATCGTAAAGAATCTGCCAAAGTCAAACGAAAGAATGCGAATGTCATTGTCATTAGATGTTACGCCTTAGTTTAATAATTAACCAATACAGTTATATAGCATGGTTGCACTTTAATGGTTACCTTAATCAATTTGCGTTTTAAATAAATTCCAGTACATTGAAGTATAATTTTATGTATATAATTACTTTCGTGTTGGTAAAATCTTTTGTAGTAATTAGATAATTTTTTAAAAATATTTATAAAAATAATGCGTCCTATAAAACAAATATTCTTCGAGTAAAATAAACTTATTCAATTTCACAATTGTCTATTAAGCATCCTATATTCTAATTTTAAGCTTTTATACTGATGCTTCTCGTTGAAAAAGATAGCTTTTGGGTTACAACCGGGACTTTATGTAGGCAGTGAACTGTGCTCTTTTGGAGACGCAGCAAACCTTGGGATAATCCACAATTGGAAATCTCTCCGCCAGATTACGGTACTCGCTTGTTTTTGTATAACTGCACATTTTTAGAAAACAGGAATGTAAATCTTGCTATTGTTTACAAAAATTAAAATAAAACAATAATTCTGCGTGCTATTAGCTTGTTCTTAAAATGATATTTAGTTAGAAGTTAACTTTTTAACAAATCCTTTACTTAAAATCTAGTTTGTTTGTAGCATTTTGTCAAAATCGTACAATCCGGGTAATAAGATAAATATGATTGAGAAAAACATAGTCTACATTAAAAATAAATTGTGTTACTGAAGTTTCATATATATTTTCAGCAGCTATCCGTAATTTTCCCACGATTTTTTCAAAAAGCCGAAAATCAATAATTTGCGCAAGAATAAAGTATTGAAGTTTTTGATAATCGCGAAAAGTTAAAAAGTCAACGATTTTCGAGTTTCTTTTATCTTGAATATTCTTTCATTACCTTTGTAATCTCAGCGCAAAATATTTCATTGTTTATTTTCCTAAAAATATAAGGTTTTATTAGAGACAATTTGATCTTATATATTGTGGTCTAAATGTTTAAAATTGTGTTTTTACAACGAACAAAATATAGACTTCAATAATAATAATCTTATATAGCAATTACAATGCAAATTACTTTTTCATAAAACATCAAGTTATAAAAAAAAATACTATGTGTGGTGATTAGTGACCGTTAGTAGATGATTATTCAGAAATCGTGAGATGCGGTCTGGTGTGATGTAGGTTTCAGAAAAACATTTTCTTTATCGTGCCAACGTTTCGATCTTTATTGAAATCATCTTCAGGGCCTGGGATTCACAATCATTGTTTAAATTTAACAAATACATGTAGGATGTGGAAAAAAGTGAATTTATACAAGCAAAAAATTTTTTTTATTTTATTTTTATATTCAATCAAAGTATTTCTACTCACTCAGTGTTTGTTTTCTGTGTAATTGTGCCATTCTTACGTATCGTGTTGAGATTTGTTTTTAATGTTTTTCTTTGTAAATCCCAGGCCCTGAAGGTGATCTCAATAAAGATCGAAACGTTGGCACGATAAAGAAAATGTTTTTCTGAACCCTACATCACACCAGATCGCAATTTATTTCACTACAAATATTACCTCTAATATCAAATTTATCAAAAATTAAAAATGTTTGGTTTACCCAGTATATCTCATCGTTTCACTATGAAATATACACTTTTTCCACACGATAAAGCAACGCAAGTAATTTAATTTCATTTATACTAGATGGACGAAATGTAAATAATATTGTTTAATAAATGGCATCTTCGACTAGTAGAAGATCCATTATGTTTGCGTTAAGTTGAATTATTATGTGACGAAAACTTTGAAGGATTATGAATAAAAGGTTTTAATATAAGGTGATATTTGATATTTAAATTCTAACAACAACTTCAACGTTTGAAGTCACGTTAGCTCAAGTGGTAGAGTAGCTGAATATCAAACCGAAGGTCGTGGGTTCGAATCCCGCTCGTGACCCTGACTTTTCTCGATATTTGTTGTTTTTTTAATTGAAAATACTCTACTGTTTGTTTTCATATTTCATTTTGAATGTATTTCGGGTTATTCTATAACTCGTCTTTATATCTCAACACAATTGTACCGTTCTTTACAATACAGTTCTCATAATTTATTTTACATAAAATAAAAATATTTTGGCAGCAAGAACTCATTAAGGGTAAATATTGTAAAATTACACAAATTACATGTTACAATAGAACTTGTGTTTTTGACACATTAAAACATCTTTTCTTACGAGATAAAGCGTTGTAAACCTTTTATTTACAGGTTACATAAGGTGAAATACATAAGGTGTATTTCTGCACGATTTTTTTAAACTAATTTTTAACTTGACTTTGTCTTAATGACATACTGAAAACTTTTTTTTTGTTTACGCTGGCATATTACCCATGAAATTTTCTATTTTAATTTAACCCGCTCGACAGTAAAATTAAAATAGAAAACTTTATGGGTAATATGCCAGCGTAAAGGCAAAAAAAAAGTTTCTGTATGTCATTAGTTTTTAAACAACTTTCAGAAAACTTTTATTACATTGAAAACATTATCTGATTATAAAAGTTTTATTGTTTCAAATATGGAATGTAGTAGAAAAGACGGATTGAGCCCTGGGTGTTTAAAAATGAATTTTAAAAAAAAGTTATTGTTTAATCTATACACCAAGAACTAAATTTTTCGAAAGGAAAAGCCAGGGTTTTCTTTAATTAAAGAAATTATAACTTTAAACCATAAAAAATACATAGTTAAAGCAACAATAGCATTAATATTTAGAATTATTATTTTTATCATATAACCCACCTTGCATAATCTCAGTTATTATTAATCTACAATAATTCCATGCTTTTTTAAAATGCCCATGTTTTTATATAAAACATTAATTCCATGTAGAACTATTTTTTAATTTAGAATATTTTTATAACTGACATACAGTTCATCTGAAAAATCTAGGATTTTAATTTCTTTGTATGTGATACTACAAAAAAGCTTGATTTTGACCCCAAAAAGTTGTTTTTTGGCGAATCAAGCCAAGTGATATTGACAAAAAATTGGATGTTATAAATTTGCTCTCTGGGGAAATGGGAAAATCTGAAGTAATGTTAATTAAGTTAAGGTGTTGATAACGTTTCAACGAATTTACATCGGTTTTTCTGTTCTAATTATAAATAATAATAAATGGAATTTGTGTTTCAGTTATGAGTCAGGGGATGGGACGAAACGAGAGGAATCAGGGAGCCAGAAAGCAGTGGGCGAACCGGCAGAATTGGGTACAGTGGCCAAAGGGTCCTATTCCTACACAGACCCCGATGGGAATTTGGTCCAAGTCAGCTACACAGCAGACGAACGAGGTTTCGTCCCGACGGGATCTCACCTGCCGACTCCTCCGCCTGTCCCACCAGAAATTCTCAAAGGTCTCGAAGCTTCCGCGGCGAACGAAGCGGCACAAAACAACGGAGTTATATCTCCGTCATACAATTATTTTTTCCGAAACGCATACCGCAGGCATTATTGATGTAATCAGTTAATTAATTGTACAAAACAAGCTCCTCCTATGATTTTGTTTGTTCACACGAGCAATTGTTCTTTCTTTTGTTTTATTTGTAATAAAACTTTTTATAACTTTATTGTTTCTGTGACCTTTTGTACCCAATGGCAGGAGTTGTTTTGAGACGGGCAGTTAGTCTTAGGCCCTTTTATACGATTCCTTAACTATACTTTCACTATTTTCCCCCCTAGATCCTTGGGAAGGTGATATTTAGGCTCATCCGTACCCCTACTCCATCTCCTGGTGATTTATTGGAGAGTTCCATTATGGAAGGTTTAAAAGGGGCTGAACACGCGTACTGGCCACATCCACGAGATTGAGTTTCCTAACACGTTTCGCAACTCGATAGATGGGTTTAATAGATTGACAAACGATCCAAAATATAATTTGGCCTAAACCATTATAAAATCCACACAATTGTACGTTGTAAAAATGTTCAATGCCAATGGAAAAATATGAATCCTTCATAAATATTAAAACTAAAAATATTCGTGACACGTGAATTGAACTTTTCTTAATAACAATTTTCACCATTTTTGGGACGACTGAATGTTTTATGTAATAACTCATAATTTTTTATTTTCGCACATGCTCTCATGCTTTCTATTTTAACGCTTCTATTGTTCGATAAATTAAATATACTAGGAAAGTTATATTTGGCACTAACAGTATTTAGAGATATCTACAACATCTAGTAACATGTAGTAAATGTTTGTCGCTTTTTATTACATTACCAATTAAAATTTGCCAATCGGCAGTAATTATATTAAATGTACTTTTTGTGTGTTGGCATCAGATTGATCTCGAAGTTGAAAATATGCACCCTCATTCTGGTGACTTCCTCAATTAATCACGTCCTTCGANTATAAAGTAACGCTCAAATTAAATCACATCCTTCTGATTAATACCACCTGAATTTATTATCATTATATACGATAACAGTTTGTGAGTAATCAAGGAAGCAAACTCTGAGGAACACAATAACGTTCATTAAAAAAAAAACTAATGCATGTACGGATTACTCTCACATAAGTGACAACAAATGATCTATTTGACAAAAATGATTTAAACCGGCCAAACGAGGGAGGACGTAGGCTCGTAACTTGTCGTCAAGAACGCTTTGGACAGATGATCACTGACTCTTTGAATCTTACCAAATTCAACACCATTTGAAATAAAGCCTCTATAATAAAGGAGATTTGTTGTGGTTGAACAACTTTTACCAAACCAGTATGAAGTTTTAAAGGCTACGGAAACAAACTCTTGAACAAACGAATTTCATAAATGTTGCCATAGTAAAGAATATACTTACGGGTCTGTAATTAGATGTTCTAATTGCCGTTTTTATTCTGTATTATCTGTATCACATCTAACGACAACTCCATTTTTCTACATTTATTTACTGCGCTTTATTTTAAACGATCAGGTGAGTAGCCTTTTTAATCTAGCAGTGCAAAGCATTAGTAAACTTGAATAACGCGTTTCGCATTTCTTCTTTCACCTTTTCTAATAATTTTCTAAAATGAAATAATGAATTATTTTTATAAAATGTTTCTATGAGCATTTTCTGTTGGTTTATTTTATAATCCGCTCGGTGATTTTTCAATGAGAACGCTGCATTTAGGGTGCTAATTTTGTTTAAAAAAATTAACGATTGATTATTTCAGTAGTGTTTTAATTTTAATTTTCTAATATTATCGTTAACTTTTATAAAGGATGCATGCTTTTGATGATGTCAATTTTGTGACCCAATGGGCATAGCATAATTAAGGTGAAATTGAGATAGAGAGGCAGAAAGAGAGTGAAACAAAGAGAGAGAGAGAGAGAGAGAGAGAGAGAGAGAGAGATACGGGCAGACAGAAAGGCAGAGAGAGTGAGTGAACCAGAGAGAGAGAGAGGGGGAGAGAGATTTATAGTGAAAGAAAGAGAGAGATTTATAGTGAGAGAGCGGGAGTGGGAGAGAAGGAGATATGGCAAGTTAGAGAATGATAGATAGATAGATAGATGGAGAGATAGATAGATAGATAGATAGATAGAGAGAGAGAGAGAGAGAGAGAGAGAAAGAGAAAGAGAGAGAGTGAGAGAGAGAGAGAGAGAGAGAGAGAGAGAGACGGACAGACCGAAAGGCAGAGAGAGTGAACCATAGAGAGAGGAAGAGAGATTTATAGTGAGAGAGAGAGAGAGTGAGAGAGCGGGAGTGAGAGGGTAGGAGATGAGATAGAAAATGGTAGATAGATAGATAGAGAGAGAGAGAGAAAGAGAGAGAGAGAGAAAAAAAAGAGGGTGAGAAAGAGAGAGTGAGTGAGATAGAGAAACGTGTATAGGTATTACTGTGAAACATGAATAGCATTGAAAATGGAATTACGTTACATAAAATACGACTTATGTATGAACTATACACTGAATGATAATTCTGCATATTTTAACAAGTTTATACATTTGTAAAATACTATTTAACCAGTTAAGAAACTGTAAATACTTGGAGATGACAATATACAAATATTATCAAGCAAAATACATTATTTAACCGTGTTAATTAGGTTTTGAAGAGAATTATGATTTTTGTCAGAAGCATTTCGAATAGATTTCTCTCGTCACAGAGAATAATCATGATAAGATAACATAATATTATATGCTGTACAGGAAAGGCAAATATCAGACACAAAAAAAATCCATTTAACTTTCTTAACTTTTCCATTTAACAGTAACTTTTGAACAAAAACATGTTAACTATTTTTTAAAGAAGAATTAGACCATGTTNATTCAGAATAAGATGTAACGCTTCTTCTACAATTTTTTTCCAGTTCAGAATATTTGTAATACGTTACACACGCTATCTAAAGAATATTAAGACAAAATTTTCTTCAAAATATGCCACAAAAAAACAAAAATCCAATTAAACGTATGTATTATATTAAAGAAATAAATTATCATATCAAAATTATATCAGGATGTCAGACGCAGTTTTTTTTTTTTTTTGGAGAAATGCTAGAGTAAAGTTAGGACGCAGTCAATGAATATTTTGAAACTTTTCCTACGATAAAAGTTTAAAAAACGCCTTAAAAATATTTGAAAATGCGATGTATTGTTAATCAATTTTTAATTATTTTATTTATCAAAGTAACTATTTGGAGTGCCATGATGTATTTCGTTTGTCAATAGCCAGCCATATTTTGTATTACAGTTAATTTATTGAATAGCTCAGGAAATTTGAATAGATATTTAAACTACACAGTTTCATTTTTGATTGAAATTGATATTGCATTGGATAATGAATGTATATTGAGGTCCTTTTTGTTATACTCTATTTTATTGTGTATGTAAACAAACCATTTTTGAACAGGACAATATATTCAATTGTGGTTTAATAAGGAAAAAAGGGACCTTGTTGATTTCAGTTAGGTAATGATATTAATTCTCATTCTCCATCCACGAGTAACGAAATTATGACCAAGTTATTTTATGTAAGACTGTCAATAATTGTAAAATTGAAATAAATTGATGTCGGGATGGGTGTTGAGGGGAGATTAAATCGCGGCGGGATCCAGCATCCAGTCTCCAGAAGACGTGAATGTTATGGGGAAGGTTGTTTGTCAAGGTTGTGGAGATGAGCATTCGTTAAGTAACGTTGAGCAACCCCGGCTAGAGAAAGTCCTGTAGAACAGGACCCAAGGTCGGATCCACGTATTGAGTAATACTCTCACACTCTGCAGTCAGTCTGTCAGCGTGTTAACACTTTTCACCCGTTCAACGGGACTTGCTCACCGGGAGCGGTGAAAGGGCTCTCTTTTAATGCACGTAAAATATTATTAAAAAATTTAATTTTGAAGGTAGACTTATTGTCTAACGAATGCACAAATGTCCCATAGTTGCCAAACATTGAACAAACAGGGTTATCTCTAAATATTAAATTTGATTTGTTTTTACAAGCGAAAATTAAATAAAACTGCACATCAATGTATCATTGCATGGATTGCTTTGATTATGCTTCAATAAAAACTTTCTACATTATAAGTTTTGACAGGAAAAGGACGATTTTGATAATATTGACTTCAAATTAGTTCCAAAATATCACCTCCTAAAGGTTTTACTTCCAAGGTAAACCTACAGATGTGGGATCACCGATTTTAAGTAAATATTTTTGGTAATACTAAAACAAAAGAAATTACGTACAATACCAAGCGTTCTTGCCAATTTTTTTCGAGCGAAAATTTTTTTTAGGCAATTCAATTTGGTTTTCTGTTTTCGTAGTGTATTACTTCAAGATTTACGCACAGTTTAAAATCATTAAATAGGATGTTTCATAGCAATTATAAATACACATTTTTAGGCTAGGCTAATCTGATTGGTGGTAATTTTTTTCTTCAATGACAGGTATTTCACATAAAATTTCATAAATTGGAAAAATCCATAACGTAATCATATTAAGGAACATAATCAGCATAATTTTATTAAAGAATTAAATGAGATTAGCTAACAGTTGCAGTTACCAAAGAATGTTTCTAATAAAGTAGATAAAAAACTTTTTTGTTTGAAAAATTCATAACGATTCAGATTCGTTTTAAAAACAGTTTAAAATCATTAAGTAGGCTTTTTTCATAGTAATTATAAATAAACATTTTTAGGCTAGGCTTATCTAATTGGTGGTAATTTTTTTCTTCAATGACAGGTATTTCACATAAAATTTCATAAATTGGAAAAATCCATAACGTAATCATATTAAGGAACATAATCAGCATAATTTAATTAAAGAATTAAATGAGATTAGCTAAAAGTTACAGTTACCAAAAAATGTTTCCAATAAAGTAGATAAAAAACTTTTTTGTTTGAAAAATTCATAACGATTCAGATTCGTTTTAAGAACAGTTTAAAATCATTAAGTAGGCTTTTTTCATAGTAATTATAAATAAACATTTTTAGGCTAGGCTAATCTGATTGGTGGTAATTTTTTTCTTCAATGACAGGTATTTCACATAAAATTTCATAAATTGGAAAAATCCAAAACGTAATCATATTAAGGAACATAATCGGCATAATTTGATTAAAGAATGAAATGAGATTACATAAAAGTTACAG